CTACAAATATAACAGCCAAGAAAACCCTGTGGAACAGTTCTATTCTGTAATACATGGACTTGCTATGAGTAGGAATCAACTGGGCTTTTTTTTTTTTTTTTTTCAGTTGAGTAAACCTTGGGCTGGCTGGAGGTGATCTGCTGTGAATTTAGGGCCTACCTCAGGTCTAGGACATCCAAATGTCTCTGATTACTAGGCAGGGTGTCTGAGTCAGTGTGATGGTCATCCCAGCCAGGCTATAAGACTGGGGCAGGGTTTTCACAAGAATCACTGAAAACATTATGAATATGATGCACTGAGCATTGTAAAGTTTATTATTTCTAAAATGTAGATGAGAAGACAGGGCTTAGGAAAATTTATTGGCTTGCTTAAAGTCACAAATAACCTTGATTAGACTCCTACACTATTGGGTTGAAAACCAGTGTGTTTTCTACTACACTTCATGTGGTAGTTAAGGCTAAGTGTCAGCTTGTCTGGGTCTGATTTTGAGTGGCTGGGCAGCTGGATGTAGTTATTCCCCATGGTGAGATTGGTAATCAACTCCATGGTGGAATCTACTGGAGCAGGTGAGTAGCTGCTTTAGGGATGTGGTCTAGTTCCAATATATAAGAAGTAACTTTGAGGAAGGTCCCTAGCTTTATGGCACTTGGACCCTGCATGTAGCTGAGTCTTCATTCAGCAGCCTGCCATGTTTCTGCCAATCTTGGGACTGTCTCTGGACTTGAATTAGTGGTCTGCCATGTGGTTTGGTAATATTGGGACTGTGCCTTTTTACTTGTTGACCATGGGTTTCCCACCCTGAGCAGCCACCAGCTGCCTGAATGAAGAGAGCCTCCAGCTTCAGTGAGCCTGAACCAAGAGGCAGAGCTGAAGCCCATGATTGAGGGGCCTTCACCCAGCCCCTAGAGCCTGACACTTTGAACTCAGACTTCTAGCCTTCAAAACTATAAGAGAATAAATTTCTGTTTGTTCAAGCCATCCCATTTGTGATATATTCCTGTCAGAGCAGCACTATGTAACCAGAATACTTTTTCTATTAGTTTCTTAGGACTGCTGTAACCAATACCATGAAATAGGTGACTTTAAATAACTAACAAGCTCTGGTGGCATAGTGCCTAAGGCACTTGACTGCTAACCAGAAGGCTGGTGGTTCAAATCTGTCAGCCATTCCTCAGAAGACATATTGGGCAATCTCCTTCCATAGTGATACTGCCTTGGAAACCCAAGGAAGGGTCGTCTTTATGAGTTGGATCTGACTCAACGGCAGTGAGTTTGGTTTGGTTTTTAAATAACCAAAATTTATTGTTTCACAGTTCTGGAGTATAGATGTCCAGACCAACATGTCAGCCAGGCCATGTTCCCTCAGGTTTCTAAAGGAAGATCATTTTTGTCTCTCCCAGTTTCTGGTAGCCCCAGGGGTTCCTTGGTGCATAGATACATCTTCACATGGCCATCCTTCCTCTTGTCCGTCTTTATCTGTCCTCAGATTGGATTAGAACCTACCCTATTCTAGTATGACCTCACTGTTAACTGATAACAGCTTCAAAGACCCTATTTTCAAACAATCTCACATTTATAGGTACCAGGGAGTTAGAACATCATCATATGTTTTGGGGGAGACACAATTGAATCCATTATGCTCTCTAAAACTGTATTTGAACTAGCTGTCCAAGAATGGCTCTTTTAAAAAATTTATACAGTTTACAAAGTGACTAAGGAAGTAGCTGCAGATATATATCTGCTCTCACATTTATAATAGGTGGTGATAACAAAACTTTAAAGATAACTGAGACATTATACAGAGAGAGTAAATATTTCTTCAAAATCTGTCAGTATCTAGAGGATGTGTACATATGACCCAGGAAAGAAAAAGATCCATGTTTAAAGAAGTTAAGGGTAGGCATGGGGAGGGGAAAGAAGTTAGAGAAACATTGTGTTATGTAATTGTAAACAGGTTTATTTACCACCAAACTTCTCAGACTTTTTCATTTGCTTACATAAACTGTGAATATCAAAAAGGTAAATTTAGTGAGCAGTGCCCCAAATATACTTGACTATGTGGCACACACACCCTCCCCACTGTCTATGTTCATGGTGCATTCATGGAAGCAGTATTTGATGAAACACATTTGGGATATCACCGGTCTAAATATACACTGAAATTCCAGCAAGACTAACAAAGTAACAGCATCTTTCCATAGTACATACTATTTAGAGGATATCCCAAAATTCTTTTTATGACAGGCAATGTGTAGATGAGACCTTAGAACCTGTCAAACTGAGAGAGAAAACGGTTTTTCATGCTTGGACATTCTATACCTGACCTGCAGGGACAGCTGGCCAAAGCCCTAGCCCACCTGTACCTTCGGCAAATACTGAGCTCCCTGATCAAAGACAGGATGAAGGGGGGCCACAGGGCCAGAAGGGGACTCAGTGACATCATGACAATAGCACAGCTCTGCCTCCAAGGTGTTTGGCCATCGCTTGGTAGCAAGAATCACATTCCTTCTGCACCTGTTTTTACAGTCCTGCACCCATTTTGGTTTTGTGGCTTTTTAAACTCTTCCTAGGCCAGAAGTTTTATTGTTTATTTTTAATTAGAACCATTCTTCCAGAAAGTCTTTATTCCTCTTCATTTTCACATCATTGATTTTAAATACCAAGTTTTCTTTAGTAATCTTTTCTCAGACTTCCTCTCATTTTGCTTGTTGTTTCCCCCACTTCTAGAACACGTTGTTTATTTTCTGTTCATTGTTTTACATTTAAAATATCAATATTCATTCAACACCTCTACCTTTGGTCATCATGTTTTAATCTGTCCTTTTCATCTAACCATCTTCCTCATTTTCTAATGGCTTCTAATACATTTTGGGAATTCTTAGTTCTCCTTACCAACTTTGTTTATCTAGATAAAAAACTCTAATGTCTGAAGCCTAATATCCTGCAAATGTGGCACAAGGGAGGATTTTCAGCGTTTATAACACATCTGTACTAAGCTGATTACAAACAAAGTAGTTTAGTGTGGCAATTAAGAGGTCAACCTATGAGGAAGACTGCCTGGCTATGATGAACTTGTTAGCTGTAACTCTGGATATGTAAACAATCTTTTTTGTGCCTCATTTTTCCTATCTATAAACTGAGGACAAGTTTATAGATAGAAACTTTTATATGAAACATTTAAACTTTTTTATATGAAGAAAAACATAGCATCAGGATTGGAGGAAGAATCATTAACAACCTGAGATACGCAGACGATACAACTTTGCTTGCTGAAAGTGAGGATGACTTGAGGCACTTACTGATGAAGGTTGAAGAAAACGGTCTGCAGTACGGATTACTTCTCAATATAAAGAAAACAAAAATCTTCACAACTGGACCAATGAGCAGAATCACAATAAATTCACAAGAATTCATGTTGCTTGGTTCTACAATCGATGCCAATGGAAGCAGCAGTCAGGACATTAGACATGTAGCATTGGGAAAGTCAACCAAGAAGGAACTGTTTCAAGTGCTGAGGAGCAAGGATGTCTCCTTGGGGACTAATGTGCACCTGAAACAAGCCATGATATTTCCAATCACCTCGTATACATGTGAGAGCTGGACAATGAATACGGAAAACCGAAGAAGTGTTGATGCTTTTGAGTTGTGGTGCTGACAAAGAATGCTGAAAGTACCATAGGCTGCTAGAAGAAGTAACAGATCTGTACTGGAGGAAGTGCACCTGAAATGTTCCTTGGAAGCGAGAATGGCCAGACTTCAACTCACCTATTTTGGTCATGTTGTAAGAAGGGACCATTCCCTGGAGAAGGATGTCATGCTTGGTAGGGTGGAGGGTCAACAAAAGAGGGGGAGGCCTTCATCGAGATGGATTGACAAAGTGGCTGTAATGATGGGCTCAAATATAGCAGGGATCATGGAGCTGGCACGGGATCGGGCAGTGTTTCGTTCTGCTGTGCATGGGGTTGCTGTGAGTCGGAAAAAACTCAACGGCACCTAACAACAACAACAACAATAAAATGAGGAAAATAATACTATCTCCCCCACTTATTATAAAGATTAATTGGATTAACATATCTACAAGGTTTACAATAACACCTAAAACCAAACCAAACCCACTGCCATTGAGTCAACAATCTATTCATAGTGACCCCCACCGGGTTTCCAAGGCCTGCAGAGTGGCTGGTGGGTTTGAACCACCAACCTTCTGGTTAGCAGTCAGATGCTTTAGGCACCATGCTACCAGAGCTCCTTATAAAAATACCTAGAATACAGTAAAAAACAAGAAACACACAAACAAACAAAAAACACCAAACCAGTTGCCATGAAGTCAATTCTAACTCATGGCCACCTGTGGTAGTTAAGTTGTGTGTCAACTTGGCTGATCCTGGTTTTGAGTGGCTGGACAGCTGGATGTAGTTAATCCCCATGGTGAGATTGGTAATCAAGTCCATGGCGGAATCTACTGGAGCAACTGAGTAGCTGCTTTAAGGATGTGGTCTGCTTCCAGTATATAAGAAGAAGCTTTGAGAAAGTTCTCTGCAGCTTTTTGGCATGCTTGGACCCTGCATGTAACCAAGTCTTCATTCAGCAGCCTGTCATTTTCCTGCCAGTCTTGGAACTATCTCTGGACTTGAACTAGTGTCCTGCCATATTTGGTAATCTTGGGACTGTGCCATTTTATTTGTTGACCTTGGGGAGGCAGAGCGGAAGCCCAAGGTTGAGGGGCTTTCTCTGGGCCCCTAGAGCTGGCACTTTGAACTCAGACTTCTAGATTTCTAAACGATAAGGGAATAAACTCCTGTTTGTTACAGTGACCCATTTATGGTATTTTTCTGTTAGAATGGCACTAGAGGACCAAAAGACCATCCCATGAATTTCAGACTAGAACTATGTTCCATAGGGTTTTCAGTAGCTGGTTTTTCAGAAGTAAATCATCAGGCTTTTCTTTTGAGGCATATGTGCTTGGATTCAACTTCCAGTCTTTTGGTTAGTTGCCAAGCATGGTAAATATTTGCACCACCCTGAGACTCCTAGAACACAGTAAGTGCCATATTATCGTTGTTGTTGTTGTTATGTGCCATCGAGTCGGACCCAACTAATAGTGACCCATCCTTGTGTTTCTGAGGTGGTATCACTACAGAAATAGATTGCCCAACCTTCCTTCCAAGGAGTGGCTGGTGGATTTGAACCGCCAATCTTCTGGTTAGCAGTCAAGTGTCTTAGGCACTTATTTCCACCATTAAAGTAACAAAAGCCGAATAAACTGCAAAGATTTTTTTTTAACTATATATTTTTTCTCCCTGTCTTTCTAAGGCCCAGATTATATAAAGGATCATCTACCTAAAATTCATCAGCACTCTTCCTACATAGGAGAAAAACATCCAGTGTCAGAAAAAACTGGAGATCTCAGATATTTATGGAGGCCTGACCCGCACAGATGCTTGCCAGCAAAATATAAACACAACTATGTTGGTGAAATTGGTTGGGGAATACCTGAGTATGATTTTATCAACAAATCAAATCTTGAGTCTGGCTTTCATATCAAGGTATTACTCTTGAATTTATGCTCTTCCTAGTGTGTTGTTTTCTAATTGAATTCTTTGTGAGTTTGCTTTCATAGGAAAACAATATGTACTTGAGTTGCCATTAAGAAGCAGCAAAATTTTATTTTTACAGAATGATAAATGTGTGAATAAGTGTACCCACTACCACAATCCCTTAACAGCCCCTTTAATATATGAGGAAAGAAGTGTGAAGAAAATGAAGGTGTGAAGAAAATCCAAAAGCATTTTTGTTTATCTTTGGAATACATTCAGATTCACATTTATGCTGAGATATTCACATGACTTTTCCTCATCCAAGCACTGCCTTGTGCAGGGGTGGTGTAAGAAAAGAATACTGTGCTGGACATAATTCACAGAACTGAAAAAATGAGTCACAGATCTTTGAAACCCACTGTGATGATAATGTTTGCTAACAAGTAATCTAGGATATGCAATCATAGGCTTCTTAGAAACCTTGTTTTATCACCTTTTGGTGATATGACTACAGGTATGAGTTCACATAGTCTCCTCTGAAACAGAAGAGAGCACAAATGATTTTAGAGGCAAAATCTGAGAATTCAGATATTCTTTTCCATGCCGGCTTTTGGGTTATCTGGAAATCAAGCAAGGATTTATTATATAATAATCCAATTTCCTCAATTCTTTAGACAATAATAATATCATATTATAACATAAAGGTTAACAAAAAGAAAAAAAAAAAAAAAACTTTTGTTGGCCCTACCTGTCAGGCCACTTGTCCTTGTCTGTCAGTTTGTCATACTATGGTGGTTTCCATGTTGCTGCGATGCTAGAAGCTGTGTCACTGGTCTTTCAAATACCAGCAGAGTCACATATGGTGGACAGGTTTCAGCAGAGCTTCTAGACTAAGACAGAAGAAGGAAAGGGCAGCCCACTTCTGAAAAAAATGGTCCCTGCAAACCTTTTGAATAACAGTAAAATATTATCTGATATAGTGTCGGAAGATGAGCCTCTCAGGTTGGAAGGAACTCAAAATATGACTGTGGGAGAGTTGCCTCCTCAAAGTAGAGTCAACTTTCATGGTGTGGATAGAGAAAAGCTCTCAGGACCTTCATTTGGCAATGTGGCACAACTCAAAATGAGAAGAAACAACTGCAAATGTCCATTAATAATTGGAACATCCAATGTATGAAGTATGAATCTAGGAAAATTAAAAAAAAAAAAATTCACTGCCATCTATGCCAACTCATAGTGACCCCATTGGGTTTCTGAGGCTGTAAATCTTTATGGAAGTGGATCACTCTATCTTTCTTCCACTCAGCAGCTGGTGGGCTTGAACTGCTGACCTTCTGATTAGCAACCAAATGCCTTAGTCACTATGGCACTAGAGCTCAAAGTTGTCAAAAGTGAAATGAAGAGCATAAAGATCAATATCCTAGACATTAATGAGCTGAAATAGACTACTATTGGCCACTTTAAATTGGACAACCATACAGTCTCCTATGCTGGAAATAACATATTGAAGAGGAATGGCATTGCATTGATCATCAAAAAGAACATTTCAGTATGTATACTGAAGTACAGTTCTTTCAATGATATGATAATGTCAGTACACCTACAAAGAACACAAGTTAATATTTCTGTTATTCAAATTTTTACATCAACCACTAATGCCAATGATAAAGAAACTGAAGCTTTTTTTTTTTTACCAACTTCTAAGACTGAAATTGACCAAACATGCAATCAAGAGATATTGTTAATTAATTATGATTGGGATGCAAAAGTTGAAAACAAAGAAGGAATATCAGTAATTGGAAAATATGGCTTTAGTGGTAGAATTTTGAAAACCAACACTGAATTCATTGCAAATACCTCTTTTCACTAACATAAGCAGCAACTAGACACGTGGATCTTGCTAACTGGAATAACTAGGAATCAAATCAACTACATGTGTAGAAGGAGGTGATGGAGACAGTCAGAACAAGGCCAGGGGCTGATTGTGGAACAATTGTTCTTATGCAAGTTTGAGTTGAAGCTGAAGAAAATTAAAACAAGGTCATGAGAGCCAAAATACGATCTTGAGTAAACCCCACCTGAATGTAGAGACCATCTGAAGAATAGCTTTGATTCATTGAACATCAATGACTGAAGACCAGATGAGTTGTGGGATGACATCAAGGACATCATCCATAAAAAAAAGCAAAACGTTATTAAAAAGATAAGAAAGGAAGAAAAGACCAAAATGGAAGTCAGAAAAGACTCTGAAACTTGCTCTTGAACAGACAGTAACTAAAGCAAATGGAAGTGAAAGAGGCGGACAGAAGATTTCAAAGGGTGACTCAAGAAAACAAAGTAAAGTATAATGAAATGTACAAGACCAGAAGTTAGACAATCAAAAGGGAAGAACATGCTTGACATTTCTCAAGCTGAGAGAATTGAAGAAAACTTCAAGCCTTGAGTTGCAATACTGAAGGATTCTATGAACAAAATATTGAACGATGCAGGAAGCCTTAAAGATGGAAGGAATACCCAAAAGGATTGGCTGATGTCTAACTGTATCAGTAGGTAGCATATGATCAACAACCTATGGTAGTGAAGAAAAAGTCCAAGCTGCACTGAAGGAATTGGAAAAAAATCAAAGCTCCAGAAATTGATTGAATTCCCAGTGAGATGTTTCTACAAATAGATGCAGTCTTAGAGAGCTCACTTGTTTGTGCCAAGAAATTTGGAAGACAGCTACGTGGCCAAATGGCCTGAAGAGATCCATATTTGCACTCATTCCAAAGAAAAGTGATCCAACCAAATGCTGAAATTATCGAGCAATATCATTAACATTGTGCACAAATAAAATTGAGCTGGAAATAATTGAAAACAGTTGCAGCAGTATATTGACAAGGAACTTCCAGAAATTTAAGCCAGATTCAGAAGAGGGTGTAGAATGAATGATATTACTGATGTCAGATGGATCTTGGTTGAAAGAAAAGTATACCAGAAAGATGTTTACCTGTGTTTTATTGACTATGCAAAGGCATTCAACTGTGTGGATCACAACAAATTGTGGATAATATTGTGAAGAACAGGAATTCCAGAACATTTAACTGTGTTCATGAGGAACCTGTACCAGAACAAGGAAATAGTGCATGGTTTAACATCAGCAAAAATATGTGTCAGAGTTGTAGTCTTTCACCATATATATTCAACCTGTATGCTGAGCAAATATAATCCAAGAGCTGGGCTATATGAAAAAGAATGTGGCATCAAGATTGGAGGAAGTAGAACAGGACTGAGAACCCAGAAATAGATCCATCTACCTATGGTCATCTGACCTTTGACAAAGGGCTGAAGTCCATTAAATAGAGAAGATATAGACTCTTTAACAAATGGTGCTGGGAAGACTGGATATCCATTATAAGAAAAAAACATGAACAAAGATATTCAGAAAAGAAGGAAAGAAGATATTCAGACAGCCAACAAATACATGAAGCAATGTTTGCGATCACTAGCCATTCTCACTGCCATCAAGTCAGATCAAACTCATAGTGACCCCTCCTTAGGTTTCTGAGGCAATATCACTGGTCTACTGACTGAAAGTTGGAGCTTCAGTCAGAACTCACCCAGAGGTACCTCACGCTTACCAAAGTGAAGTGCCGTTCCACTCTGCACATATAGAATCTCAATGATTCCAACTGGCCAGCAACTTTTTTTTTTTTTAAGGCTTAGATTTTGACACTGGGACTGCTCATCTCCCCCTTCACATCCAAGGCAGATCACAATATTCTTTTTTGAGTCTAGACTCAGACTTTGATTCTTATCAACCCAACACTTCAGGTACCTACTCCTGAGCAATCAGACATGACACATGACTTGACACTTGAACGTATGCATGGAAATGTGCACACACACACACAAGCATACAAACACATACCTTATTACAAATAATATACAAACATCTCTGTTATTAACTCATGCCCATATTCACTAGAGTGCCAGTAAATTCTTTGTTGTTATTGTTAGCTGTCGTCAAATCACCCCTGACTCATGGTGTACCCATGCTCAATGGGACAAGATGCTTTCCACTTCTGTGCCATCCCTATGATCTGTTGCAGATCAGATCATTGTAATCATAAGGTATTCATTGGCTGTTCAAAACCTCAAACCCACTGCTGAGTTGATTTCAACTCATAGTGACCCTATAGGACAGAATAGGACTGCCCCATACAGTTTCCAAGGCCTTAAATCTTCACAGAAGCAGATTGCCTCATCTTTCTCTCCAAGAGCAGGTGGTAGGTTTGAACTGCTGGCCTACTGGCTGATTAATGTGGTATAATTTAGGGGAAAATCTCAATCTACTTCCTGTTTTTTCTCCCAGTTTCTTGTCTTTCAATGAAACTTCTTCCTCATCTCTCATCTTTCCTTGTCCTGTAATGATCTAAATCAAAAGGGCAACTTTTTTCCTTCAGTCTAACTTCAGAGACTCCTCAGTCTCTCACTGCATTTGCTCAGAACTTAGAGTTTAAGCACAAACTTTCATATGCTGGATTTTTATAGCCCTTGCAGCTGCTGTTCCAATTTACCGCTCTACAGGTTTATATGAGGCTAGCAGATAAGAAAGCCCAGGTACCTTCCATAGACTTTAGGAAAATGCCTGGGCAGCTGCTTCCTACCTGGGAATGCTGTCCCCAATTTGAGGTACTAAGGTTCTGTAGATCATCTGGCTTTTCTCAGGAAGATAGTATCTTCCAGGCTATGTGACACCTGAAAGAGTTACCCCCACATTGCAGAGGTCAGTAAAAATCACAATATTAGGTTTCACTTCTGGATTTTTTGTGGTGAGCCATTTCCTACTACTTTTATACAGGCTAGACTGCCATAATAATACATGTGTATGTAAGCCAGGAAAGATCACAACTTTTGTTATTATCTCAGATGTAAGAACAGCACATGTTTCTTTTCTTTCTTTTTTGTTTTGAAATGTGGTCTCTGCCAAACTTTACATGTTGTTTCTGCAAGAATATATGGAGTCA